TATTAATTGATATAAGTGAAATTAGTTATTTACAATATTATTTAGTCATCGAAATAATATTGTTATTTAAATTCTTAAAATATCAATTATTTATTGAATTTAATAATCCATAAAATTATAATTGTACTATTATTACATAATTCGTTATTAATTTTGTAAACTATTAAATTATTATTAATATGAATATGATAATTATTTTTCTACTTTTAAGAATTTTTTAAATTTATTACATAATTTCGTTATTTTAACTATTTAAAATTTTGTCATGTTAAATATTTTGTTATTTAAATATTTAAATAATATGTAAAATATTTAAAAATTTTCATTATTTGAATTATATTTATTTTAATCTTATTAGTAATATTAAACATTTTGTTATATTATTTAGCTATTTTTAATGTTTTTATTTAAGATTTTTAGTTATTGAAATATTGAAACAATGTTTTATTTTTAGTGTTAAATTTTTATTATTTGAATAACATTTAAATCGAATCATTCGTAAAATTATAGTTTATATTGTTACTACATAATTTTATGATGAATTTTATAAAAATAATTTATTATTAATAATATGAATATTATTAAATCTATTAATTTTTTTTGTGTTTTGAATAAATATTTTAAATTTAGTATTTAATTTCATTATAACATTTAAATAGTTCTGAATTTTTTTAATTGAAACTTTATTTAGATAGATATAGATAAAAAGTGGGGGAGAGGATAAATAGGAATTACAGATATTTTATGGGAGAATCTCTCTACTAAATTAGAGATAGTTTAAGAGATAAATAAGAGTTAGAAATTATTTAGGACATAAATTGGAATTAGAGACAATTTATGAGGAAGTGGGGGAAAGTGGTGCTATTTGGCTAAACATTAGAAAAGCAAATCCCTCTTTTTTATGATTGTTAGTAGTAATTAAGTATATGTGATTTCCTTATTGGATTAATGTGTAATTATGTGGAATTAAAAAAAAAATAAAAATTTCAAAAAAACAAAAAATCAGAAAGGGGGTTTTGAAACAAGGAGAGGGGTGTATCAGGACCAATTTTAATATATATATATATATATATATATATATAGTGCAAATGCATACAAAATAATACAAAAGGGTAAATTACAAAGACCCCTTACTATGACCGTGAGACAAAGACCACCTTCCCTTAGCCTTCCGTCCAAAAAGGCGGTTACAATATCTTTAAATCCCCATAATTAAACGAGAAAAACACTATTCATCTTCCTGTTCCTTCACATTTCTCTCTCTTCCTCTCTCTCCCCGAATCCGATCCGGTGGTTGGTCAAATGGCCGAAGACGACTGCAAAACCAGTAGCCTCAACGAAGCCGGCTCCAGCTCCAAGGATTTCCAACAAGATCAGAAAGACGAAGGTTAGCTTCAGCTGGGAATCGGTAATTATGTGGCGGGAATAACCGAGTTTAAGCATAATCAAATGAAACCAACCACTCCAACAGTCAGATTGGTGGAGCTCGATCTATTACCACCCAACGGCAGCGGCGGCGGCAGTAGTATTAGAAGCATCACACAACAAGTTAAACCATTATTAAACATCGTCCAAGCAGTTCTAGTGGTGGTACCAGTATCATCGGTACGCCTTTGTTCTTGCCGCACCCGAGGACCAGTTTGAGTTTTCCTCAACCTGAGGTCCTATGGCGATATAGGCCTAACCCATGGAATCCAACAGCTTCATCCTCTTCTTGTTCTCCGATGCTGCTGCCTGCAACTTATTACGCCCGACAGTTTCAACAACCGGCTTTAGACGTTGTCAGTCCGAGCTCAGATGTTAGAGTCGTCGAGGCTCCTCCGAGAACGCAATCCGGTGTTTGGTTTATTCTCCAAGCATCACAACATCAGTAAGTACTAAATAGATGGAAGAATCAGATCACGAAGAAATAATGGAAGAAACTCAAGACCCTATTCTCTCTTTCATTTTTTGATTTAGTGTCGCTTCCAGTTAATCTATTGCACCTTGCTACTCAATGCGGAACAAGAGAACCTTTCTTGCCTCAGATACCCAAGAGCTACCTAAGAATCAAGTAAGTCTGTTACTTTTTCTTTCTTTCTTTTCCCTCCTTTTCTATATGTCTGTGCTTTATCTGAAAGGAAAACCGTGGTATTTGGTTAAAACAACTCCTCGTCTAATCAACAGCATTTGTCCCTCCCCCCGTAAATTAATCTTGTCTTCTACAGAGATGGGAGAATGACAGTTCGATTGTTGATGAAATATCTGGTTAACAAGCTCAAACTAGAAACGAATCAGAGGTGCTTAAAACCATCTTTGCATCTGTTTCACTTCTAAATGCTTATAGAATTAATGGTTGGTTTGGTACCATGTACCATATYTTTTTATTTATKTTTAGCTATTTGCATACTAAAATCACAACTCACGAATGCAAAATTGACAAAACATTAGTTACCCTTACAGACCAACACCAACCTCACAGAGGAGGCGCAGTCATTCACTCTTTCCGTGTCTTCCTCTGTTTTTCTGAGGAGAGAGAACAAGAAATAGAGGAGGCGCAGTTTTACGAGTTATGAAGTGTTGAACTGAAGGGTCGTATCCATCCTTTAGTTCTCACGTGGCCAAAGAGAGGACGGTGAGGGAGAGGAAAAGAAGAGAAGAAACGCAAGACAATATGTTAAATAGGTTTTAAGAGAAAAAAGGGCAAAAAAAGAAAATAGAAAAATTTAATGGTCAAGGGATCTTTGTCTCATGGTCATGGTACAGGGGGGTCTTTATAATTTACCCTAATACAAAATATATGGTTTTGCAGTGTACATATTTGTATTTACACTCTTTCCAAACTGAGCCTAAGGTTTTACACTCCACATATTTGCACTTGTGCTCCTTCCAAACTGAGCCTAAGGCTTTTGTTTCAAGATATCCAATCCTAATCAGATTACTATTTGTTAATTGAGCCCAAAATTTCATAAAATCTGTTAAACGACAGCTTATCTGTAAGAACAAGATTGTATTGATATAAGCAAAGTTGCAGTATCAAAATCATTCAGAAATGAAATTGGAATCAAAATTCTTGGGAATGGAAATTGGAATGATCTATTTCCATAATCTGTTTGATTCAGACAGGAATTGAAACATGAATTAGAATCAGTTGAAATGAGATTTTATTTTTAAGGGAGAGGGAGGGGAATGGTCATTCCCTCAAATAAAGAAATGCTATTCCACCAAGAATGAAAATAAAATTTTGATTCCCTCCAACCAAACAGTTGGAATTGGAATGGCCCGCATTCCAATTCCATTCCATACCCCTGTTCCCGCAAACCAAGTGGGACCTTATAAGTTGATGATGCCACTTGCTTGAGAACTGCACAAATTCATAATGCAATGTCCATGTCCATGTCCATTAGGGGCAAAAAAGAAAAAAATTTGAAAAACAGTCCAAGAATTTCAATTATACTCCAAATATATTCAGCTCTCAAGTGCGCCAATGTCCAACAAACTGAAAGACTAAGCAGTAAGCCATTCAGTTTAGTCACTTGAGTTTTTATGAAACCACCCCTAATTCACGCCCTATTTCTTTACTAACAAAGGTTTTGTTGCCTTCCAATCCTAGCTAGGTATTAATTAAGTTTAGGGGGTGTTTGGGAATGCTGCGTAAACCAAGTTTCAATATTAATATTGATGCATATCATGTGATGGTGTTAATATCATATATATCAAGGTTATCCACAAGTCACTGATACGTGAAATAATGAGAGTTCAGGGATGTTAATACTTTCATCCTATCTGTAAATATTAATGGTTCCAACTGTTAATATCCATCCTAACAAACCTATTTGTAAATATCAAGATGAAAAAAATAAAAATAAAAAACGAGTATTCATTGTTTGAAATACATGATAGACATTTTCTTGTGTATTATATTTTTTAAGCCTTATTATAACTTTAATTTTTATAATAAAAACAATTGCCACATCAGAAAAAAGAAATATGTATAATTTTATTTTATGAAACAAAAGCAATTGCCATGTCAGCATAAACTTTTTTTTTTTTTTGCGGGTGTTGCAATTCTTTTAATCTGGGATTATTCCACCCTATTCAACCCACCGTGAAGCCCTTTTAGTATTTCATTCATTTAGAATTAAAGAAGCACAAAGATTGGTCACAAGTCAGAACAATTTCTTATGTATAATCACCCTAACCTCCAAACAAAGATAATTGAAACCCTAGTTCTCAAATGTCAAACTATAGACGATTGTCAACTATATTTAGTTGACATACCAATAGAGCTTTTTTTTTTTTCCTTTCTTTCATAAATTTTATTTTTATCTGACTAATTGGGGCAAAACTTAGGTTGTGAGGCTCACACAGTGCCCATTCAAAATTGGTCCCAATCCCATTAATTAACCCACACAATGGAGGCCCCATTGAGAAAGTTATCTCCCTCCCTCACCAACCCGAGTTGATCTATATCATTCAAATTTCAAACATGGAAGTTTCTGGGGTGATCCCAATTCAAACCAACCCGACCCACGACTACCCCAAGTTGCTGACCATGGCGAAATGACTGAACATTTGGTTTTAGTTTTATGTAACAGTTGTTATGACTGTTGGGCTACCAACCCTCCATGACTGTCAGTTTATGCCTTACAGAACGTCAGTACTTGACTTCAATGGAGAGCCATCACTACCCAAACTTGATAGAAAACTAGACTACTAGAGTTAGAATAAAAATGTCCTTGGTAGAGGCTTCGTTGTCACATTTCGTCGAATACGTCCAAAACACATGCACTCACCCATTAAAACGCCACTTGGACGTTTGACTCGCACACTCGTCCTCTGCGTCCTTCCCCCAATTAAGCTAAAATCACATTGGCATTCTCGTTCTCTAGAAGATACATGAATCAATCAGCTCTCTTCTGTTCCATCCTTTCTTCATGCACGTGGTTGATATTCTTGAGTCTCGACCCTCTTAAATCATTACCTCTCCCAATTTCCTAACCATATATAAGAGACAACGATAGAGAGAAGAGGAGAGTATCGATCTCTTTTTTCATAGATGAAATGTATATGTCTCAGTACACTGCTTTAATCCATCTGTTTATCTGGTTGGCTATACATCTCCATGTGAAAGAGTCCAAAGGGGTCTCTGATAAAGATGAAGAAGAAGAAGAAGGATGATAGGATGTCATGCATGTTATTTAATCCAGGCGAGGGCGTGCCAGCCACAGAGAACTGAGAGCTCGTAGCCGGTGAAAGTACTCAGCGATGGCCAAGAAACATCTGGCAGCCTGGCGGGTCGTCAAGATCTGGTGAAGCCGGTAAAGGGTCTGCTGCCTCAGATTATCAGCCTGTAAGTCATCCAAACAACATTACCTCCTTGTACTTACATTACAACTCATGCATCCCGTATCTGATACAAACTAGGGGTGATCATAAAAAAAAAACCCAAATCTGAATCGAACCGATGAAATTGAATCGAAAATTTCGATTTAGTTTCAGTTTGGTAATTTTGAAACAGTTTTAGCCATCGGTTCTAGGTCGAATGGTCCGACCATCTGGTTTGAACGTACGGCCCCTTTTGATTTTTAAAAAATAAATAAAATAAAAAATTGGTTAAAACCATTATCCAAATCGATGGATCAACCACGCGGGTTAGTGGGTCACCGATCAAATCAACGGTTTTTGGCCTCCCTGGAGTGGTGTGGTTTTAAGGTGAAACGAAACCAGTTAGCACCTGTGCGATACCCGGGTCAACCGGTTACTGAAATAAATTTATTTATAATATATATTATAAATATAAAAAACTGAAAAATCAAATAACCAAATCAATCAAACGATTAACTGATTGATTTCCAATTGAATTTATGAATCATTCAAAAGTATCCCAAGTAGGGGTGATCATGGGCCGGGCTTAGCATCTGTGATATAGCCCGGCAGCCTAGGCTTATTATATAATATTTATATATAAAATATAACATAAAAAACACATAAAATATGTATATATAATATAAATATAAATATGTAAATATGTGTATGAATAATGTAAATTAATATGCACGCCGGGCCGGAACACAGAACTAACCATCAATTAAAATCTCAATATTCCCTCCCTCAAATGGACAGAAGACAAAATCAAATATCACTCGCGGAGGAAAGCACAAATCTACGGATCAGACGGTTAGGGACCATGACATCATGTCCACATGGGTGTACAGATATCTCCGGAATGCGGACATGGTAGATGTGGGGCCTACGTCCATGCCGGGTGTTAGGTTTCATTCTATTTCAAAGTAATACCGAGTTACGGACAGAATTTTGCAGACAGAATTGAAACAGATCAAAACAAAATTAGAATTAGATGGAATAAAACGATTCTTGGCTTGCCTGGAAAATTTTAAGAGAGAGAGAGTAGAGGGAGCTCCGTTTACCTGTCTAACGAAACCTTCAAGGGTGGAGAGCTTGTTAATGGCGATGGCCATCTGGCCCATGTAGTTAGCCATGTTAGAAGGGCAGTTCAGAGCGTCAGAAGCAATGGTGTCGGAGAGTGACTGGTGGAGGGCTTCGAGCCCTTGTGAGAGCGCCTCCTCGGCCTCCTGCGTCGACTGCTGTAGTCCACATATTCCCAATATCTGCTGCTCCGTCAATGGCTCCATGTGATTCAAAAGAATCTGCCCAACATATTTTTGAACCAAATCATGACATCAAGTACAAAACTGTTCCACTTTTCTTTTTCTATTTTCTCTTCTACAAACTTGTAAGAGCTTCACTTATTTATTAAACAACAAAGAAGGAAGCAGAAATAGCTTTCATCAATGCAGCAAGAGAAAGAAAGTTCGAGATATTCGGTCTAGTGTCTAGATACGGAAGTAATATATGCATCTTTCGATCTAAACCACTATCCACCCATTAATGGAAAAAGTAATCAAAAACCTTCAAGTCTCTTTCTCTCTTCCTCTATGGTAACAGCAGAGATACAGACTGTAATTCTGTAACGTAACGCAGCATCATCTCGTCGCCTCCTCTTCACTGCATACAGGGATGGAGAAGGTGACGATAAAGCGTCGCAGGTCACTTCACGCCGACTGACCGGCGGTGAAGCTGCAACCTCCAAGAGAAAAGAAGTGCACGGGCCGGGACGTATGAAAACTCTATGATGGTCGAGTTTATATACTCTACCACGACAGCTAATAAGTAATAGCAACCTTCACGAACACGATACTATCGTCGTCATTAACTATTGGCCAGTATCCCGAGAACTAACTCTCCCCATGCATTAAATCTTTCTTTCCCAGCTTGGCATCTCAGTCTCACCATATATAGCTATTATCTTCAATCCTCGTTTATCATATCCACGTACATATTAAAACAAAGAGGATGATGAATGGTGATCATGCAGGAGCAGTTACACAGAGTAAATAGTGTGATCCGAACGTGTTCGTCACTTATTGGCCCAAAGCTTGTAAATTAAAGCTAACAAAACTTCTCTTTCCCTCCTTTATTTATCTTTTTCTCTTTCTAAACATGTAAATTCGGTCCAAAAAGATGAAAACTGTATTAGCTAGCTTTTTTATATTATATATTTTCTGTGTTACTGCATCACACTCCGAATTCGATACCCTTCGGGAGCAATAACCGATCCTAACCCATTATTCTCAGCTCTCTGAATTGGAAAATGCAGGAATTTGCAGCAGTGCAGTTGTTTCTGAATTTGTATGGGTTGTGAAATTAGAAAAGCATTATCTTTGGAAATGGTTCGAAGAAGTTATTGGGTTTGGACCTTAATTATCTCTGAGGGCCGGAATCCACCCATCCACATGAAGCAGCGCTCTGCCGGAGTTTTCCAGAGGCCGGAAACAATGTGAAAGACGTCGGATTTCACAATCATGCTCTTCAGGTTAATAATTTGATTGTAGTGTGCTAGACAATTGTCCACGAAGAGGCGCAACTCGTTCTCAGGCAAGTGTTCTTGCACCGCTGCTCGGAGGTCGCACATGAGCCGGTGATGCTCTTCAAGCCACCTTGCATACTCCATGTCGAACATTGCAGCATCTAAAACACAAAGAATATATATATATATATATATATATATATATATATATATATATATATATNATCACAACCGGATATAAGAAAAAGGTAGAACATTGAAACATGACTCTAAGGCTGATGAGCTGTTGCAGAGCCAACGTAGTTCGGCGGAAGAATATATAGAGGAATACCTGAACTCAGATTGGTGATACCCAGAGGGGTGCCTTGGTCTTCTAGGAGGGCTCCTCCACCAAATAATACGCCCTAGTGATCAAGAAGATGACCAGAGCAAACAAATTAGAACAGTATTAACCATGTCTACAATCTCGAGAAATAGTAGCTTCGGGTGTTAATTAAAAAAGACCCACTTGAGCTCTAGCTCTTTGGAGCTCCTGTTCCAGCTGAGTTAGCTTAATCCTACTAGACTCTAGTTGCTGAACATAGGCCTGTAATTGAAACATAACTCAGTTTCAGGTTGGTCGACAAGAAGAATTAGAGAAGAAATTTTAAATATGCTCATCCCTTTTTTTTTTTTTAATTTTTCGAGGCTGTAGACTGACCTTCTTCCGTAGCCTGCTTTTCCTAGCTGCTTCTCTATTTTGAGCAAGCCGTCTTAATGTCTGGGCAGAAATAAACCAAAACACAAAACACAGTCAATGCTGAAAGGCAGAAGCAATTAACAGAACTATAGATTTGTCTTGAAGTCAGTAGCCAGCCACCTTAGGGTCTGGTGTTTTCGGTCCTTCTTGCTCTGAACTCGATGTTGGGCCTTTTCGGTTTACTTCACGCTGCCCCCAACAATCAAAACCCACAAGAATCACAACTAATTCGAAAGAGAAACATAACAAAAGTTGGGAACTAACCTCAAAATAAGTATTTTTCCAAACCCATTCACCAATTTCTTTTTATCTCTTATCCTACCTTGGCAGTTTTTGCTGGTTCTGGACCAGATGCCTTATCATTTTTAGGGTTGGATAACTCCATGGTCGGCTCTGATGATCTCTTTGGACCAGTGTTTGTAGCTGTAGGAGAAACAAAAACTGCACTACCCTGCAAAAATAAAATGAAATATACCCATTTCAAATTATTATTAAAATAAGCAAAACCCACAATAAAGAAATAAAGAAAGAAACTTCCATGCTTTAGACTGCATACCTTTGTAGGAGATGGCTCTACATGCATTGGCTGAGAAGGGAAAATATTCAAAGTGGGTGGTCTGATCCCTGGGCTCTCTGCATATATACCATGAAATTAAATGAAACCCATCATGCCACACTACAGGCATTAAATAAATCTCTCCAAAATTTGCAATTCAAAGTTCAAACTTGAATTGTGTTTTTGAGAGAGAGAGAGAGAGAGAGAGGGAGGGAGGGCATATTCTTTTTTGCACGGACATAATGATTACAGGTGAACCCGAGTGAGAGGCAGGAGATAAAAGCTAAATGAAACACGAGCCATGAAAGAAAAAAAAAGGTGAAAGGAATAGGAGTCTATGGCTCATGAGGGAGTGTAGGATCGCCATGCATTTGTGATTTGCAGCACTCAACCGTCCCAAGCAGGAAAGTAAGAAAAAAAAAACCGTCCCAAGAAGAAAAGAGAAACAAAGACAAAAAGAAAAAAAAAAAAAAGCAAAGAAAAGCAAAACTGATGCCCTCTTCGTACTCTTTGCAGTACACTGGAATTTGCGAGGAATTCATGAGCAGTTTGTTAGATGTCACGGTCCCAATGAACTTGAAGAAAAGAAAAGAAAAACTTTAGAAAATAAGAAAAAAGTTATCTTGTCAAAATTTCAAAATTTCACATATTTTATGTGTGGGAATCCAGTCAAACACAGTACAAGCAGATTCAGATTTGAATAATTGATCTGCAAAAAAACGCTTTTCCCAGGACCGAAAGGATCTCATTGTCAAGAACATCAATGGTTCTCTCTCTCTTTCGTGCCGAAGGGAAAAGCATAATAAATAAAGAAATAAGAGGAAACATTATAGAAACCCAGGAAACAAAAAACATGAATAAGAAGAAGATAATAAAACTTACGTCTTTGTTCTTGTAGTGATGAGTGATCCTGTCCTTCGAGATACAGAAATAAAGCTTGATCCAATTCACCCAAGTCATAAGCTCCAGTGTCCTTACCGCTGCTGTCACAAACAAGAACTATGAGGCTCTCTGCACCACTAATCGATTCTTTTCTTAAGAAAATTTGACAGGAAAATTGAAAACATGGGTTGTGAATCTCTTGCTTTCTTCGATTATTACATGAGGTTTCCAGAGAAGGACGAAGTGGGTTGCATCATCCCAACAGAAATCTGATGGCGTTCGTGTTGTTGGGTTTGGTTGCTGTTGTCTTTATTAGCAGCCAGCCAGCGAGCCACAAATCGAGAGGACCCCGACGAGCTTTCTTTCCTTCTCTGCTTTAAGAGCTATGGAGCAAGCGTCCCATTAATGGCTAAACGATCTTCTGTTTTCTCCATGGCGATCATTTCTCGATATCCATCATCATAGATGGGCAAGGGCAGAGAGAGAGAGAGAGAGAGTTTTGATCGAAGAGCTTAAGAAAAACTATAGCAGAAGAAATGGAGCACAAGTATGCAAAGAAGGAAAAGTAGAAGCTTTTTCTTTACTCTCGTCTCTTTCTCTCATCCCGACCTCCTCCGACGACTTTATGAGAGCAAACCACGACAATTCTCAGACAAAGAGAGAGCTGCTAAAATCTCTCTCTTTCTCAGTTTCTCCCTCCACGCGGACAAAACCGCCGTAGACTTAAGAAAACTACTTCGGGGGGGAAGGTGGAAACCGCCCTTTCAAGCTCTACCGAATACCGCTTTTCCCATTTCTTGTGTGAGCTTCTCTAAATTTCTTTAAATGACATAAACAGCCTTCCAAATGTAATTAACTACCATGGTTACCCTCATGCGTGTCGGACTTTTATCTGTACTCGTGCGCAGGTAATTTGTCGATACTATCTTGTCAAAATGTTCTTCCGGTTACGGTTCAAGTCTCCCCACCTCTCCTTTACAAGGAAAATTGGAAATTCCTTTTGAAACAACCAGTTCACACGTGGTCTGAACCACATAGCGGTGGGTCCAAAGCTGGTTTGAAATTGGCTGACCCAAATTCGACCACGAATGACTAAGCCAGGTAGAGGGAGAGTGGTCTGCTCAAACCCTAAAATGTCATTTGGGTTTGGTTATGACTTATGGATCAAAATACAAACAAAAACAAACAGTATTGAGTTCATATCAGCTGCATTTTTTTTTTTTTTTTTTTTAAATCAGGGGTGGGTCAGAAAAATGGATAATTGATTGGATGGATGGTTACGATCTTTTGATGAGAGGTATATGTCAATTGATTATGTGTTTCTGGACGAAGATTATCGAATTGAGAATTAATTAAAACCCACTTGTGGGATATATTTACTAACTTTTCTTTGGTATCAAGCATCGAATTTGGTGAAAACATCCAAAATAGGTCACAGTTTCAGGTCATAGACAGGTTTTTTTTCTTTGGAAAAAATTGTAAATTTTTTTTTTTGTATTGATAAACATTCTTGGCAAAAGATATGGATCAATGATATCTTTTGTTCAATTCCTTTTAAAGTAAAAATATCTTTTATGAAATATAAATCAATAAAAATAAAATATTTTAATATATCATCACTTAAAATCTAAATTTAGTGTACAACCAATATTAATGAATGCGGAATAACTGAACTCAGCATTCTTCTTATTGTTTGAATGTGAATGTTCATTGTCTACAATCTAAATCTAAATAACATCTGAGTTGATATGTTAGCTGGTTTGGTCGAATGAAGATGCGGATTTTAGTCTCATTACCATTGATTTTGAAGGAGAGTAATTAAGTATATTACCGTGTTATTCTTAAAAAAGAAATAAAAAATAAGAAAAAAGGAATTACGGCCATTATCGAAAAACTCTTAAACTAAATGGAAATATAGAGTATAGTAGCCATGGAAATGGAATAAGTAAATTTAGGAACAAGTGAGGGTAGTTTTGTCATTTGGTGTTTTTAGATGGACCGGAACGAATCAGCGTAGGTAACTGTCATCATGCTGACATAAGCATGACACTGGCACGTGCTCCCAAGAGGTGGGCCCGTTTTGCGGGAACAGAAAATCGGGGACGTTAGAGGATTGGACCCACAGTGCTTTACAAAATGAAAGAATCTAACGGCCAAGAGGTTCAAAAAGCACCAGATTCGTCAAATCAAATATCTGGAAGAGTGTGGGTCCCAACCGACCAGCCCCCCTCTCCTTTCCCGCGATTTCTTTAGTTCCCGTTTCCAACCACTCCAAAATCCCGGACCAGCAGCTAATCTGCAAATGAAAATCAATCAAAATCACTAAAAAAAAGGGTAAATTATCATCAACAAATATTGAAAATTTAGAAGAATTTTAGAACAGACAAACAAACCCAATTCGGTTACGAGTCTTACTAACTTCTTTCTTCCGCTTCTAGTCCTTCTACCAAATCCCCTAACCCAAAAGGCATGGCGACTGGGCCTGTTCAATCAAGACCGTCCATCAATATAATATATATATAGATAGATTGAGAGAGAGAGGAATTTTGTAGCATGATTTTTAAAACCAGACTGGACCAAACAGTTGGACCGGAAAAAATGGGAACCGGTCAGGTAATCGATTCTGTTTTTTCCTAAAATTAAATTTTTGCTAAAAAAACGTTGATTTGGTCAGCAAACTATTAACTGAGACGATTGAATTATTTGAACCATTTAACAGTTTTGACCATTTTTTTATTTTTTGTCAAAACGGGCCAATTATTTAATTCAAACAATTGGACCGTTTAACCCAGAAATTGGACCCCTGACTGGTTTATTGTCTGGGTCAGTTTTAGAAACCTTGTTTTGTAGTTACACTTCTGTCTTTTTTTTTTTTAATTTTCTCTTTCTTAATTTTTTTTACCCATATCCAGTGATAGAGATTAAGTTTGAGCCATTAAACTAAAATGATAATATTATTAATTAAAAAGTAATAAAATGAATAACACTTTGTTCTTAATTGGTACATGCTGTTAGATTGATTTTTGGCTGGCCACTAGGACAAGAAGTGGTGCTGACTTGTAAACCAGGACATTCCCAATGAAAAGGCAATAAATATATGCCACATTTAATTAAAATCACATTCTTACAAGCCAAAAGATGATTGGTCTTAAAATTATGCTGCCATATATAATTAGGGATGTCAGTGGGTCTAGTTAAATGGTAAACCTTATGCTTAATTGGGTTGAGGTGACTGTGCTAAGCCCAATTAATTGTCATATACATAAATACCTAGGCTTATTGGGTTATAAATGTACTATATTGATAATTCTGGTGGTTCTTTGGAAAGTCCCAAACATATTAAAATCAATTTTGAAACGTACTGGTTTGTGTTCTATTGCACGAAATTATTTGGGTAGAGTGCTTGATTTAAAATCATTGTCACTGAGGCCTGGGCTGTTTGGGAAGCCCATGACTTGGCACTGAACTTTAAAAATAAATTTATCATTGTTTGAGGGAGATCGGCTTTTATCAGGGCAAATTTGTATTTATACCATTCTAACAGCTTTTTGCAATCTTATATTGGGAATATCTCTTTATGAAATAAAACACACAAATACGGAGATATTCTCAATGCAAATGCAAGGTAGTAAAAACTGCCCAAATGGGATTGAAGAACATCATCAAAGAGAACCTAATCTATGAATATGAAGCTGGAGCCAAGTGTTGCCTATCGCCATGTCTTTTGTGAAGCTAATCAAGTTGCCAAGATCGATTAGACAACGAAACCTTTGACTCTCCTCTCTTGGATAGTTGGACCCTTCAAATCTCCTTGGTCCCTTTTGTACATCTTACGGCTGCCTCCCATCTTGTGTAGCTCCTCTTTAATGGGTCTGATTAATTAAGCCCACATAAAATGTAATTTTTGCGAGAACTACAATGTATACCACATACCAGAAATGAACTTCTTTCATAGCATGGTTCAATGTAACCAAATACTGGATAAATTATTTTAAAATATTAGAACATCCACGTCTTGTGTAATCTTAAAAGAAAAAAATAGTAAATTAAGAAATTTGTGCAATAAGAGAAATTGAAATTCAGAAGAAAAGTGAAAACTTTTATCAAATATTGATTTGTCTGTATCACAGACAGTTTAGTATTTGTTTCACATAGAAGGGAGACAAACCCTCTTTATAAGTTAAATAAGAAGATGCGAATGCGATTGTTACGTTTATGATGAGAGAAGCATTTGAATTAGGTATATCAGAATCTATTAACAAAATAAACTAAGTTTTATACAAAATTAATTATGATTTTAACTCTTCTCATCCTCTCAAGGCCATCGTCAAACGTGGCAAGGGGCTAGGGATTTGCTTCAACCACTCCTCCCATTGGTTGCGTCTACATTCCGGACCCGAAAATGACAACACGTAACGTTTTATCATACAACGAAATTTCGGGATTAGAAAAATTCGGCGTGTTTTATTCAACAATATATATTAATAAAATTAAAAAATTTGAACTGAAAAGGACGTCTTTGTCCACCGTAAATTTTAATATTCTTGGAATTCTCATTTGATCAGAATGGTTTTAATTAAATCAGATTATTGTTTAACAACCACTTTACGCAATTCAAGAAAACTTGGTTTATTATTATTATTATTATTAGTTTAGATATCGTATTCCTATGGGCATGATGTTGTATTATAAACAGAATGGTTTTGACCAATCACAACCTCTTGTGAATTTCGATGAAGTTATACCTGATTTATGAATATTGGTTAGTTGGTCATGAGTTTTTTCAATATCATGTCTTTCCAGCACCATATCAAGCCTTTTGGTTTGAGATTATGCCTTTGTAATGAAAATGAAAGTAAAATTTAAATTTTTAACGCTTTTGCGTTTAAAATAGGAGTAAAATATGCTTCTATATCGCACTCGAAGTAGATAAATGTAAGCCTATAAAAAGGTTGATCAATTCCGATGTATTCACTATTTATCACATGTTAAATCAAGATTTCAACCAATCATGTTATAAACGTTATGTGATCTATTCACCCTTCACCAGTTCTGTTTTATAAAATTTTTACCATAAAAATTTTAGCAGCATCAAATATGTCAGTTGTAAAGTATCGCTTTACCACTGATTCACACCCTCATTTTGTTGCATGGTGTGATTAATGCACCATAGATTTTGCCCTACATAATATCGGAAGTGTTTTGACCAATCAAAATCCACCCATGAATTTTTTGATATATACCACTTCATCGGCATGAAATTTGATATATAACAAGTGCTTCCTGAAACTGTGATTTTTATTGCCTAGTAGGTAAAGTATAAGGGGTTGGTGATGTATACTTGGGTTTAGCGTTAAACCCTACCTTCTAATGCTAGTAAGTAGTGACTGTTCACCAGCCAGCTTTCCCATCATGCTGATGGAAGGCTTGCATATAGCATTATAGATTATAAGAAATGCTAACAATTTGATTTTGATTTCTATATTATTATTGTTTTGTAAATGAAAATCCTCATTGTTTAATTTAGTCCTTTATAACTCTTTCATTCTATTCACTAGAACCCCATTTGCATGAGGGAGAGAGAGAGAGAAGGAATTAAGTTTTTAGATTTGATAACATTAAGAAAAAGCTTTTGGTGTTGACGACATTGAATTTGAATATGCAAAAAAGTTTAAAGGAAGAAAAAGGAGATGAAGCTTTCATCAGACCGTCCAAAATTGGTTATCAATGGTTGATGGGTGCATTGTTTAGGATATGA